TTAGCGCAGCCTCCAAAAAAAAAAAAAAATCCAAGTACACACGGATTGTGTACGAGTAAACAAGACGGATCTGTTATCATCCGAACACAATGATTAATTTGTATGTAATCTACTAGTTTGTTATTGATAAGAGTTCGTTTTATGTAAGCGGCGATTGAAATGACTTTCCGAACAAACGAAATAAAAGAGAGTTGTTTTCGCGACCTCTAAAAATAGCGCTTCTTAAATGTTGCGTCCTTCGCGCGAGTTAATAAATCCGAACGACAATCTTGTGATATCCTCAATTATTTCTCTCACCAGACTTCCGCTTTTCCGGAAGGACCAGAGATTTGGTCCTTTTGACACGCAGCGACCTTCTGCGGATGGAGCGCAGGAAGGATTCGGGCATGCGTTGGCGGAACGGCGCGTCCTGCTGCTTCTTGTCCGACATGAACCAGTTCTTGACCGTGGTCATGGACAGGACATGTTTGGACTTTTTCGGCGTGGCCGCCGGCTCGTTCTTCAGATCAACCATATTTCCTTCGATGAGTTTCGTTGCTACGTGAAAAGTCAACGCGTATTTCCGCTTCGGAATCACTTAGTCCTCAAGATGTTACACCCCCGCGATATATTGTTTCCGATAAAGCACATCCTTCCTCCACCTGACACAACTGTATATAATCCTTGTTTCGTAGTAATAATAATACACTCAAACACAGTTAAAAATCCTTTTTGCAACACTTCTATAGTTGTTGTTGAAAAATTTGGCAGATCCTTGAGCTGCGAGTTTGCAAGTGCGCGATGGTAAGTACAATAGTAGACTCCGGGTATGTGTGTTACGACACGTTGGGTAGTAGTGGAGAGTTCGGATCGTGAGCCCCACCACTGTTCGGGGTCCCCGGATCTCGCGTCCCCGGAGGACCTACGCTTGCGCAACTCGAGATCCTTTTCCTTCGCTTCTTCGTCCTTAACACACGGACGACTCGTAAAAACGGGCTTTACGATCTCTCTCCTCAGGATAATCGTCAGCCACTTATAGGCCTCGTAAAACCCGAAAAAGGAAGAGCAGGCTCATTTGTTGCGCGTGATTTTTACGGCATCTCATCCTTCCTTCCTTCTTTTTTTTTCATCATCATCAACAACATCACGAAGAAAGAGACCACTTTATTTTACTACTTGACCACTCACAAGTGTCCTCGAGATGCACCAATTTACACCTCGACATTCAAGAACAACATCATCAACAATTTTTATTACCATCAACCACAATTACATGTAAAAATTATTAATACCTTTTCATCATTGCTTCATTTTGCACATTAAAATATAATCACTTTCACAAATTAAATAATCAAAAAGTTTCTAAAAATCTTACAAAAGTTATATAAAACTGATAAATGAATAAATTTTCAATATTTATGATAAATTGATACAAATTTTGAATAGTTATAAAAATAAATCAATTAATCATCAAATTTGTATTAAAAAAACATAAAATTTATAGATAATTGCGATTGCAGAAAGATTTGCTTTAACATTTAACAATTTCTTAAAGAACTTCAAGATTTAAGTTCGATTAGTAAAGAAACATCTTCATAATTGCAGAAAAAATTGTTTTAACATTTAACAAATTCTTAAAGAACTTCAAGATTTATGTTAATTAGTAAAGAAACATCTTAATAATTGCAGAAAGATTTGTTTTAACATTCAAATTTCTTAAAGAACTTCAAGATTTAGTTCAATTAGTAAAGAAACATCTTAATAATTGCAGAAAAGATTTGTTTTAACATTTAACAATTTCTTAAAGAACTTCAAGATTTATGTTCAATTAGTAAAGAAACATCTTAATAATTGCAGAAAGATTTGTTTTAACATTCAAATTTCTTAAAGAACTTCAAGATTTATGTTCAATTAATAAAAAACATCTTAATAATTGCAGAAAGATTTGTTTTAACATTCAAATTTCTTAAAGAACTTCAAGATTTATGTTCAATTATAAAGAAACATCTTAATAATTGCAGAAAGATTTGTTTTAACATTTAACAATTTCTTAAAGAACTTCAAGATTTATGTTCAATTAGTAAAGAAACATCTTAATAATTGCAGAAAAGATTTGTTTTAACATTCAAATTTCTTAAAGAACTTCAAGATTTATGTTAATTAGTAAAGAAACATCTTAATAATTGCAGAAAGATTTGTTTTAACATTCAAATTTCTTAAAGAACTTCAAGATTTAAGTTCGATTAGTAAAGAAACATCTTCATAATTGCAGAAAAAATTGTTTTAACATTTAACAAATTCTTAAAGATCTTTAAGATTTATGTTCAATTAGTAAAAAAACATCTTCATAATTGCAGAAAAATTTGTTTTAACATTTAACAATTTCTTAAAGAACTTTAAGATTTATGTTCAATTAATAAATAAATATCTTAATAATTGCAGAAAGATTTGTTTTAACATTCAAATTTCTTAAAGAACTTCAAGATTTATGTTCAATTAGTAAAGAAACATCTTAATAATTGCAGGAAGATTTGTTTTAACAATCAAATTTCTTAAAGAACTTTAAGATTTATGTTCAATACATCTCGACATTCAAGAACAACATCATCAACAATTTTTATTACCATCAACCACAATTACATGCAAAAATTATTAATACCTTTTCATCATTGCTTCAATTCACATTTCTTTTGCACATTAAAATATAATCACTTTCACAAATTAAATAAACAAAAAATTTCTAAAAAATCTCTCACAAGTTATATAAAAACTGATAAATGAATAAATTTTCAATATTTATGACAAATTGATACAAATTTTGAATAGTTATAAAAATAAATCAATTAATCATCAAATTTGTATTAAAAAAAACATAAAATTTATAGACTAAAGTATTTTATAGATAATTGCTTCACATTTATGTGAAGTTATTTGCTTAGGTTATTGGAATTTCGCATCGCATTCGGATCGTTCCAGAATGGAGAGGACTCCCACGCGCGCGCCTCCTCCTCCTCATTCTCCTCCCATATCCTCTGGGAATATTTGGAATATGATCTCGAAATACACTCCGAAAAAGCACGATAAATATTTCCATTCATAAAGTGTCTCGAAGTACTGTTTATAAATACATCTTACTAAGGCAATTAACACGTCCTGCTTTCGAATGCCTGAGACAAAGACGCAGATCATACACTTGCAAATTTGGACTTCATAAATTTGATCCAAAAAAAGAACTGGCAAGACCAAAAAATACAATTTGGACTCGATAAACGTTCGAGCTAAGCATAATTGAAGGCTGTTCACCTGCGTCTAACATTCGAAGCGCGACGCTCACATTTCCACTGAATATGCTAAATAAAATCGATTACAAGTGTAATATTCGATAAACGCTTAAATTACACTATACACATTTATATTTATAGCAGCAAACAAACAAAAAAATAAAATAAATATCGATTACATTATATCATAATAACGAGAGACTGCTTGGATGAATAACAATAAATATTTTAGTTGGTTGCTTCTGGCGCGGACGCAATAAATAGCATCTCCTCATCCAGTTAGTTATCTTCGTACAGAAAACATGCATAATACATCGGAATCCGCGGAACCCGTTTTATCTCTACAAAACGGTGGCAAAGTTGAAATTTGTGGCGTTCTCGGAACGAGGCATAAATATAAACACAGATTATCACGCGTCTCCTCTTCGCAATCCCAATCAATGGCACCCATTGAAAGATGAACTCGAAATAAAGCAATAGTTTATAAAAAGGAAACCGGCGCCGGAAATAAACGCAACAAAAGAAAAACCGATGTCCATTTACGTCTGAGACGTTAAACTTTCATCATCATCGATGCGTTGTCTCCACTATAGTAAATCTTACGTAAACAGACAAAAAATACACCAAACAAAATTGAAAGTGTATTTGATTACGTCATGCGTTGTTATTGCGATTCTCGTTTAAAGTTATTGCCGAAAAAAAATAATAGCAATTTGGTGAGAGTGTTACCAAACTGGTTCCTATGCTAATTAAAAACGAGCACACTAATTGGGAATTAGAATTAAGTTCGACTTTGATAACAGAATGCATATTCATAGGCGACGCACGTGCTTCCCAAAAGAAGAACTGGAGAAAGCCTACGTCGCGCATAATTAGAAGCAATTGAAGGAAAAAAAAAACGTAATGAGTAAATGTTTATTGCATTTTTTTTTTGGTGTAGTTTCTTTCCAGTTGCAAAGTAATTGAAGGTCTCACATTCTTCGCATACGTTTTCTTTTTAATATTTTCTCGGCTAATTGTTTTGCCATCAACGAATAATTGTTTCACCATATTTCTTCTTGTCTATTAATCCAGTTATTTACGTTTCAAGGCTCGTCTATTGTCACAATACATAATTGGTCTGATTTAACACGCTCTATATTTTTTTTAAACAAGAAATGTAAACTTTACCAAACGATATTTGCAATATTTAATTACTAAAATTCTACAATTTCTAATTAAATTTTATTGCATTGAAACTTTCGAAAAGTCCATAAAAGGAGATAAACTTAAATTTCTATTGCGTGTTTTGAGTGCATCGGAACCCCCCCAAAAATTACGTGAAAGAAGATACAAACAAAGCATAAACACATGTTAGTGAAAATACAGGATATAGTTGTGGTTTAGATGAAGCGTAATTGATTACGCTTTTCTCGATGAACCTCATTAAATTTATTATATAATAATACAAAAAAAAAGTTCCCATGAAACTCAAGCATCGATGTAATTATTGAGGTTTCAATTTTTAATACTTGTAAAAAAAATTGTATATAAAAAACGATTGTAAACTAATTTATGTGTTTTAAAAGTAGAATGTTTAGCATACCGTTATAATGCTGCATCCGCACTATGCGTAACATGAGACATAAATGTCCGTCAAGTGTACCAACGTTTGAAAAATGTGCTGTCACGTACACTTGGCATGTCTGACAGTCATTTATATAATAGTTAAATATTTACAATAAACTGATTTTGCTGGTAAATAAACTTCTTAAGAACTTAAGAACTTTGTAAATATTTTAAAAAAATAATTAGAAAATTATTAATTGACATTCAAACAAATCCAATTTATTGAAGAATAAAATTCAATTACTAAAGAAACATCTTAATAATTGCAGAAAGATTTGTTTTAACATTAATTGCAGAAAGATTTGTTTTAACATTTAACAATTTCTTAAAGAACTTCAAGATTTATGTTCAATTAATAAAAAACATCTTAATAATTGCAGAAAGATTTGTTTTAACATTCAAATTTCTTAAAAAACTTCAAGATTTATGTTCAATACACCTCGACATTCAAGAACAACATCATCAACAATTTTTATTACCATCAACCACAATTACATGTAAAAATTATTAATACCTTTTCATCATTGCTTCAATTGCAGAAAGATTTGTTTTAACATTCAAATTTCTTAAAGAACTTCAAGATTTAAGTTCGATTAGTAAAGAAACATCTTAATAATTGCAGAAAGGTTTGTTTTAACATTTAATAATTTCTTAAAGAACTTCAAGATTTATGTTCAATTAATAAATAAACATCTTAATAATTGCAGAAAGATTTGTTTTAACATTTAACAATTTCTTAAAGAACTTCAAGATGTATATTCAATTAGTAAAGAAACTTCTTAAGAACAAAAATAACTATGAAAAACTATGGATAAAAATTTCACTTTTTCTTAAAGTGAAATTTTTGATCAAAACAATTTATTATATCCATATCTCGTTTCTGTATCCACAAATGATCACCAAGATCGATGCAAGTTTCTCTCAAACAATTAACGTAACTTTCTACGACGCACCGTAA